GAGCATCATGTAGAAAATTCACGTTCTGAAATCTACTGCTTCTGTTTTATCTTCATGTGTAATGGTAGTAAACTGTTTGTTGAAAGCTGTCATTATCATTTACTAGTTGTATGTGTGTAACGCCGTATGCCAATGCGGGGATCATCGCTAAGTGGATATGTGCATATGCATCTCTTTATCCAACGCCGAGAGAATGGACCAACTGCCTGCAGAAGACATTCAAAATTGCAAGCTCGCTGGGGTTTTGTACAGTAAAGGGAATAGATAGGACGTGTTTACAGCCCTTGACCAGTGAGCAGTCTCCGGAGGATACCCTCTCCCGCTCCGGTAAGTTGTGTCTCGATCTCTTTTTGAGAGACAAAACAAACCAGGCTCTGCTCATCCAAGGCTTTGCTGGGTGTCATTGGCCCGTGGAGCTTGGAAGGACTGCGTCGCAGATCGGATCCGCCGGCGACTGTACCACCTCGACCACGGCCCTGGTATTCACCTACAAGGCCCATCGTCTCCAGGTTGCTGAGCACGTCCTTGAATTCGGTAGATGTAAGAGGGTGTAGGATATTGTCTTGCCGACACAAGGTACAATATGTGTCGTACACTTGCTTGATCGTCGGCGGCAAATGCTTGGTCTTGGACGGTGTGCCCGGGAATTCACCTTGCCGCCGCTTGCGGTCCAGGGCAATCAAAGCACAGATGGCTGCCTTCTGCTGAAGGTTGAGCCCCTGTAGTCGCTGAACTGTCCCCTGTCCGAATGCCGCCGAAGTGATACGCGCAACATGCGCAATGCTGGCTCGAGGGGCTGTAATAGCAGTGTAAGATAAAGTAGGAGTCTGTTTGGGTGAAGATGACTTTGAGGATGAGGAAAGGTTGTTGTTCTCGACAAGGATTGTTTTGGAAGGACTCTCGGGGTTGGCATTCTGTGCCTCGAGCTTTTTGAGTGCTTCCTGCTCGATAAGATCGATGGCACGCTTGACCAATTCGAATGCCTTCCGTAGATCGCCAGTCTGCGATGCCACCTTCTTTGAGCACAGTTGAATAGCTGCTGGTTGGACAAAAGGAACGAAATTGGGGTCCACAGTTTGACCTTCAGGGAGTAAAGAGCGAAGACGATTGGTGATTACGCCGGCAATCTGGCCAGCATTGTAAGGCAAGAAGGGGAGCAAGCGAGGCTTCAAGTTCTTGGCCTTCAATTGTGGGAGTGATCGATCGGTCAAGTCTAGCGCATTGGCAATGCCGATGAGCAAGAGTCTAGACTTTTCCTGCAACGACCACTCAAACAAGGACTGGAGGATACCGGAATCCGCGGTGAGGAGATGATCGATCTCGTCCAGAGTGACCAAGAACATATCATCTTCCTCTTCGGATGTGAACATCAGTCGTAGCCGATCTGCTTCGCTCTTCTTGAAGACGTCATGGTCGTTGCAGAGATCGCCGATAAGCCTGCTGTAGACGTCACGAGCACCCCGCATACTCGCGCAATTGAGGTGTGCGATTTTGAGAGACTTCAAATCCATGTCGTGACACACTTCCTGAACCAAGGCACTCTTTCCAGTACCCGGAGGACCACTGATATACAAGCAACCACCTTTGCGCGAATCAACACTATCTTGTATGAACGAGGTCAATTTCTCCCGTTCGGTATCCCGACCCACTATCCGAGTTGAAGTTGCACCCCGCGCAAACATCTGCCTTGCTTCGGAGTATATGGTCTGCGTGGTGGTTGGCGTCGATATGTGTCGAGGTGTGCGTGGAGTCATAGATTTCCCGCCAATCTGAACGCGGTGTTTCGGTGTTGTCGGAGGAGGTGAATCGAGAGCATCGCGAAATCTGGACTTCGACGGTGTCTTGAACTCAACTGGTGTCGAGTTTTCGTCTAGATGGATTAGTTATATTTAAAGAGGGAGATCAAGGGAGAATCCTACCATTGACCGGATCTGTAGCATGGCTGCGCTTAACAGGTGATATGGCCGCCTTGCCAACCTGCACAGTACGCTTTGTCTGTCCACTATCGACCGAATCATTCTTTGATTCTTCCTGAGGCTCTTCCTGAATAGCGGCGCTATTGCCGCTTCTCGTCCGTGACCGAAGTTGGCGCGGTTGGGGTGCAGGGGGCTCGCTTTCTTGACGGACGCGAGGTTGTTGTGTCCGGCGCCTGCTTGCTCGACGCACGGGTAATGATGGTACTGATACAAAGGAACGTCAGTTAAAATGATCTAAAAGAAATTACGGAGGAATTGAGGGATATGGAAGTCGTACCTTCCGGTTCGATAGCACCTCGCTGGCGCTTACCGAGGACCGAAGCAGCCATGATATGATAGATTCAATGGTAATTGGCAAGAGCAACCAAGGTAAATAAGATGAGAAGGAGAATAGATGATCGATGATGAAAGGGAAGGAGCGGGTGTTAGAGAAAATACTGTAGTAGTAGTAGAGTAGTATTTGGAGTGGAGGTACTGCTATCCATCACGATTTTCCCAAGGAGGCATAATTAACAAGACGCGTCGAGTTAAGGTGCGCGTGTTACTACGCGTAAGCTTAATCTTATCACGTGACTAGATGCGAGGCTGACGCGCTTCGGCTGCCAGTCATGTTTCTTCCTGTGGGGTTCTACTCAGCTGCCATGTCCTGCCTGACTTCTCAGGCGTGGAAGCCACAGGGTCGGACCGCGTGATTATCCGTCTGCTCATCGGATGCTGTGAAGTGCGTCACCAATTCTACCTGACGGATAGTACCTATACTATTAACGCCGCGCATCCTGGTTGTTTGTGCTGCATTCCCTTGTACAATCTCATGGTTCACTAGTGCGGAGTCTCCTCCAATATCTCCCCTCTATTGTCTTTATCTTCATATGCATTTATCTTGAAGTCCTTTCAACTTCATTCCTCCATCTTCGTTGATCACCGCCTAGCACTGACATTACTGTTTGCAGCTGTTTGCATCACATTGCCTGCCTTCGACCTTTCAGTTGGGATTCCTGCTGCATACACCCTCCTCCCATCACGGCGATCTCTTGATTCTCTTCATCCTTTCTTCTTTGCCTCTTTCTTAGATTAATACCAGTGCCATGGAAGGCGACGTGCTAGCGCAGTTCACTGAAATCACCGGCTCAAAGCCAGAGCTGGCTACCCAATATCTGCAGCTGACTGATTTCAACATCGAACAGGCTGTACAGCTTTTCTTCGAGAATGGTGGTGCGCCACTGACTGATGATCCCTTACCGTCTGCCTCCACGCCGCAGCAAGCTTCTCATGCTGGCGGCTATGGAAACGAGTCCGGGGTGGTCAATATCGACTCCGATGACGACGTCACAATAGATGAGTCTCGCTCTGCGCCTCGGAACCACGGCGCTATGTTCGAAGATGATGCCGCCATGGCCCGTCGTCTCCAAGAAGAGATGTACGGCGGAGGAGATGCCGAAGAGAACGTGCGTGCGCCTATGGCCCGTACAACAGAAACCTTGGTGGGGCCTGAAGCGGACTTCGACGATGGCGATATGCATGCCAGCATATTGGGTCAACTGCGCGCGCGCCAACAGCGAAACAGTTAGCACTTCACCCTGCCTTCTATCACTATTTTCCCGAATGCACGGCTAACTTTGCTTCTTCTTAGACCGGCCGGGCATCTTCAACCAGCGAGACACATCGATATGGTCTGGAGAGGACGACACCTCGGAACGTGAACGGTTGGCTGCAGCGACTGGAGGAGCTTCCGAGGCCTCGAATAAGTCTAATATGTTAGCTGAGATGTACCGCCCGCCTTTCGAGATCATGTCCAGGCTTCCGTGGGATGTCGCTCGTCAGGAAGGTCGCGACAATGAGAAGTGGTTGATGGTCAATATCCAGGATCCTTCAGTCTTTGATTGTCAGGTTCTGAACAGAGACCTCTGGAAGGATGCGGGCGTGAGAGACACCGTTAAGGAGCATTTTATCTTCATGCAATATTCCAAGGACGACCCTCGCGCGGGACCGTATCTGCAGTACTACTTTCAGGCCAGTGACGTCTCAGATAATTATCCCCACATCGCGATTGTCGACCCCCGGACTGGAGAACAGATGAAGGTCTGGTCGGGGCCTCCCGTGATCAAGGCGTCGGACTTCTTGATGCAAGTCCACGAGTTCCTCGACAGATACAGTCTGAAGCACAACGTGAGAAATCCCGTGGCGAAGAGGAAGCCGGAGAAGAAGGAGAAGAGTATCGATGCAATGACTGAAGAAGAGATGATGGAGATGGCAATGAGAAACAGCCTAGGGGATGAGGCGTCGCAAGGTCCGAAGGTGGAGGATCCTGACGATCTCACACGCAGCACTGATGATGTGAAGGGCAAGGGACGGGCTGAAGACGTTGGGATGGAAGAGGCCGAACAACCTGAACAGAGCGTCTTCTTGTCCATCCCGGACAATCGACCCCACACAGAGCCCCCCGCCGATCCTGCCACAACCACGCGCATTCAGTTCCGACACCCATCGGGGCGAGTGATTCGACGTTTTGCTTTGACGGATCCTGTCCAGCGGATCTACGAATGGCTCAAGGCTGATCCGCCCTTGGAGGATAAAGCCGGTGTGGAGTTTGAGCTGAATGCCATGGGCCGCAATCTGATTGACTCGCTGGATCAGACCGTCGCCGATGCTGGACTGAAGAATGGTACGGTCATGATAGGGTATGTCGAGGAATAGACTGCATTGGGACATGGCACTTGAGGAGAGACTCGGAAGGTCCAGGACGGGGGCCTAAGGAGCTGTCAGGACTGGTGCCTGTTGCTCTTCCGGCCAAATTGCTGCTCTGGGGATGGATGCCTTTGTTTAACACGGATGAGCATCTCTCTGGAAGCCAAGCACCGACATCAGGACTACTGAGTGGTTCTTTCCAATTCTGTAGATCGGGTCATGCTTTGACTAGTAATTGTCCTCTATATTTGCGATTCTGCATAAAGAGGAGATGGATCTAATGGCTTCATGAGAAAGGAATCAGAGAACAATCACACATATTACCCTTGATATCCCTTTTTACATCAGGGCAGTTCCGTACTTAGTGCAGCTTCCACAATAAGCAATACCAGACTAGGCAACTCATCTCTTCACCGCCTGCCTCAAATAGGTGTTCAGAGATGGTGGGGGTTTTATCGAAACCAAACCAACTCACCGCCCGGCCAGAAACAACCCCGCGTTGCTCCCCGATCAAGCAATCAATCAGTGGCCGGTATTCGGGTGGGTATTTTTGGTAATCGCCGGTTCCTGTTCCTGGTTTCGTGGTTCCAACTTGTCTCCAATTGTCATTGTTATTGTTGTTGTTGTTCTTGTTGTTCTGCTTCTTCTTCTGCTTCTGCTTCTGCTTCTTGTTGTTGACATGCAAGGGAATTAATTCTCTCCCTCCCATTCCTTCCATCTATTCTCATCTGCCTAGCTTATATCGCCTACCCGTTTTTCAGCCCTTGCGCCCTGTTTCTTTCCCTTTCAAATCACGCAAGGATCGGTGGCTGTACCCATTCTTCCTCCTCTTTTCCCCCCTCCGCCTCCCTCGGAGACACACAGACACTCCAGTCAGCTAGCTATCTGTCGGTTGTCATCCCCAAAACAATCATAGTTGAGCATCAGCTTCTGCTCCCGATGCATTCGCCCGAAATTCTATTTAGCATCTCTCCTTGAACCGCAATCATTGATTGATTGACCGATCTATCTATTTCGGAAATTCAATGTCTCCTTTCTTTACTTGTTTCCTATCTAAGCCCTACCTCCACCTCCTAGCCTAGCTTAGGCAATAGGTATGTCGCCCTTGATCCTCCACAACCGCCCGCGCAAAGCTGCCTCCCCATCATCTGATCTCGTATATGTTCTCGGTCTTCCGCGCATGTGGTGCTCGCATTCCACAGACAATCATCTCCTCTCATTTATGGCAGACGCTGATTTTCATTTGCCAGTGTTGCAGAATCGGGCGAGACAATTGATTTCTACTCCGCCGGCGGTTAGTTACAGCCAAGATGGAAGGCCTAGTGGATCCAGAGACGATCTACATGAAGCAGAGCTGCATCGGTACGTACTCGGACATGGTGTGATTCATCTTGCCGCGCAATCAGCCTCTCCTAACTCAGTCATACCGTTGCAGGCGGCGGGAGCTTCGGACGAGTCTATAAAGGGTATGTATGCTCAAGCACCTCTCTCATCTTGCTCTGGTTGCGCACTATATTCCGAGATCTTAGCGGCTTACACTGCTATTACTCGCAGCGTTGATAAGCGTACCGGTGCCTCTGTTGCTATCAAGATCATCGACGTCGAGAATGCCGAAGATGAGGTGGAAGATATTATCCAAGAAATTGCCATCTTGTCGGAACTCAATTCTCCTTATGTCACTCGATACCACGGTTCTTTCTTGAAGGGATCCAGTTTATGGATCATCATGGAGTTCTGTTCCGGTGGCAGTTGCTCCGATCTTATGCGCCCGGGAACAATCCCGGAGGAGTATATCATGATCATCATAAGAGAGCTACTCCGAGGGTTGGACTATCTACATAGCGACAAGAAGCTGCACCGGGATGTCAAAGGTACCACCTGATCTCGCTTGCCATGCCACCGTTATCTTGGAGACTAACATTAGCGCTAGCTGCAAACATCCTGCTTACCTCGAATGGCCAAGTGAAACTGGCTGATTTCGGAGTTTCTAGTCAACTGTCAGCCACAATGACTAAGAAGAATACTTTCGTGGGTACCCCATTCTGGATGGCCCCGGAGGTGATTAAGCAATCTGGATACGACTACAAGGCCGATATCTGGTCTCTTGGAATCACTGCGATTGAATTGGCCAACGGCGAGCCTCCTTACTCGGACATCCATCCCATGAAGGTGTTATTTTTGATTCCCAAGAACCCCCCGCCCGTTCTGCAAGGCGATTACAGTAAAGCGTTCAAAAACTTTGTGGAACTTTGTTTGAGACGGGATCCCAGGGAACGGCCGTCCGCCAGAGAGCTGCTCGAGCACCCGTTCATCAAGAGGGCAAAGAAAACAACCTATCTGACCGAGTTGATTGAACGCTACGAGCGCTGGAACGCTATTCACGGCAATAGGGGGGCTGATGATGAAGACATTCAGGAACCTCCACCTAAGACATCTCCGCCTGAGGAAGAGGACGATTTGTGGGACTTTGGCACCGTGCGGCCAGCAGGGAGAGCACCCCCTCTCAAGCCGATGAAAGAAGCGGACATGAATGCGAGAAGCCATGAAGCCAGTGAGTGGAACATGAAAGACGAGCCCCGTCGAGACATTTTACGGCCAAAGAGCAATATGCCTTCTACACCCCTGCAGACGAAAAACATGCCTAGTGCTATGCCCAAGCCATTGTCGCCCACCAAGGTTCCCTTGCCACCTTCACCCATCAAACAAGCATCAGATTTCACACCCCAGACACCTTCACACCTACAACAGCCAGTCTCACGTCAACCCAAGGGGAGTCCTGGTAGTGACTACGATAGAGCTCTACAACAAGCTCTGGCTGAAGATCTGAGCTTCCTCCAGCTAGATCGCTCCCCAGGCCCTTCGACAGCCTTTTCGCAAGCCCGGGGTGCTCCCCCAGGTTTACAAGGATACCAAAAGGCCCCGCAGTCACACCTGCCGGAAGTTCCATCCTATCAACGCCTACCAGATCCACCGGCCTCGAATGCTGTGAACCAGAACGTTAGACCTGCCAAAGAAACATATCCGCAACGTCCAACATACGCACAACCACAAGCACGGCTTCCCCCAGCACAAAGGCATATGTCACCGCCATCCCAACCATCACGACCGCAGCAAGCGTTGCCACATGGTCCTCGGCCTGCATCCATGAGGCCTGATCCTCTCCAGCTCAATACCACAACCGATGGGGCCCTTGATGAACGAGTACGGGAGCGGGAGGCGATTCAGGGCCAGGCACAGATGCCCCCTTCCAACGAGATCACAGCTCTAAATAGTGTGATACTACCTGCTCTCAAAGCAGCCATTCGTCGCCGGACGCGGCGTCTGGAGCTTATTTCACCTAACACGACGAGGGATGCCAGCGGCAATATCAGCGAGTATCAAACACGTGAGGAGTATGTCCATGGAATGATGGAAAACCTGGTGGGCGATATCTACGGCATGTTCACAAAGCTTGAACGCTGGGACAACGAGGCACCTGTGGGAATGGGCGCTCAAGTGACCTCATTCTTAGAAGGATTTCTAGAAGAGATTCTTGTCCGGGTTGAGCCTTCTGACTCAGATTCGAACCCAGGCAGAGCCTAAAGGTTGCTCTAGTTTGAACTCGAGCATAGCACGATTGACTAACCAGGCTTGCCTCTTGAGACCTTGACTAGAATGACAGCCCTCCTTACTGCGAGCACAGCCCATCCGCAGAGGGTCGAAGCTGGAACAGACTGGCAAATACAGATTATTAGTCACTACGGACTTATGGGGTCCTATTTTCACGATCATGGCAGCTATGCAGTTCAATTTGGTTTTTGTGTGTCTTGGATCGACTCACATACCATCTTCATCTTCTTTCTCGCTAAATTTCCTGCTCTTACAACCCTTTTCGGATTCAACAGAACAAGAATTGGTGGCGTTCATATCCAATCATGCACATTCTCTGCTATTGGTGCTCTATCCACGATTGGGTACACATCAAATGGATTCTTCGACTTGGATTCCCTCCTTCATACCTTTCCCATCTCCACATTGCTTGCTATCCTGGAATTTTCTGGGCTGGAACCATCTTTGACTTAGTGAACAGGAGCTTGCCTACTGGAAATTGGCCTCCTCTGGTTACATTACGTCTCTGGGACATGACACTACTTTCAAGACTCATCTCTTCTCTCCTTCATGATTTCCTTGTCGTCTCTTTTTTCTTTTCCTTTCCTTTTTTTTTCTTTTTTTTTTTCTTTGTTTGCACTTGTAATGGTATCAGAACGATGCGGGGAGTTTTGTAAATTGTTCTTTGTTTGTCTATCAATTGTTCTCGGAGCACTCGAGTGCCTAAGTAGTGTGTGTGTGATAACTCGAAGAATGAAAATTACAGACATCCAGGTGATGCATTCATTGTCAAGATCGCATCACATCGTGAAACTCATCATTCATTATCAATGACGTAGATTAACACGGGTTTATTGGATACTATACATCAAGCCCGCCAGTATCATAGTCTGACACAATAGTTTCAGACCACGCATTAGTACTGGATGGCATCTCAACGCCATTGCGAGCTGCTGAGGCAGCTGACCTAGCCAACAGGAGTCACACAAACTCCGTCGTTCTGCAGCATGGCTTCTGAAATCATTCCACTAGCAACCCTTTGACTGACATAGACAGGTATAGAGATCGGCCTTCATGAAAATTCATCCACTCGGACGAAAGAGCCAGTCACTTTCTGGAGTGGGGATCAGATAATTCGTGATATTGAATTCATTGGCGTTAGAATGCGAGCCATCGACGACGTGATTGGTATTACTGCTGCCACCGCCGCCACTTGTCCCGGTCAAGCCGTTGACTGAAATGGGGTTGTTCACTGGGTCGCCGACATCCAGGCTGAGGATATCCGTCGCCCGGGCAGCGGGAACACGAGGGACGTTGAAGAAGCCGAAGACGTCTAGGTATTCGAGTTCATTTGGAGCTGGGTTTCTGACTGCCGCTGGTGATGCAGAGGGCTGACTGCCGGCTGGGGAGGTGCGGGGTTGGCGGGAGATGAGGAAGTCGAGGTCGAATGCGCAGCGGCGCATGTCTGCTAGGATCTTTACGGTGGATGGAGTGGCTCGTTCTGAGTCGGAGACTCCGGATTGCTGATATTCGCCGTATTCATCGAGGACACGCTGCAGGATTGAGCTGTAGCGCTCTGCTACTTTCCAGTGCTTGCCCATCTGGGCTAGGGTGTCGACGAAGAAGAGGAAGTCGGGGCTGACGGTATGGGCTATTGTTGACCCGTGGACGAGGAGGAGCCGGGCGGATACCCAGAGAGTGAAGGCAAATGGGGGCCCTAGTTTGTCGAGCATGTTGTTGTCGACGACGAAGCGGGTCACAGAGAGGATGTTGTCCACTGCAAGCAGGCATCGCTGGCTTGCGCTGTATGAGGGGGTGAAGATTGGTGATCGCGTGGTGGGGTATGCTGCTGATGAATGGAGCCGGATAACCGCACTATATGGGATGAATGTTAGGCTCGAGTAGCTATTGATGCGATTGCATGTGATCGAGGTGGTAAGAATATCTCACGTTTGGTAAGTGGCATGGAGCTGAACCCAGTCACAATGGATCCCCTTGGTAAACTTGGATCCATTGAACAATCGGGAGGAGTTCTCGTAGGCATATTCGGCTGGGAGGCCGAATTCCCAGGACGTTAGCTCGCTGTCTAGCTTGCGGTATGTGGTCTGCCACTCCTCGACATCCGACAAAGCTCCTATATCGACAGGTCGCTTCAAGAAAGCATGGATCCGAGAGAGGATGCCTAATACTTCGACATAGAGTCCAAAGCTGCCGACGTTTTCGGCACGAGTCACGTAGTCAGCACGATCACTTGAGCGTTGGAACCATCTTGTCTCCACAGGCTGATTCTTGAGAAAGTATTCGTCTTTACATGGTAATTTCCGGTCAATGTCCTTATCGTCTAGGGCGAAATCAAAGGCGGTTGCAATGGTAGAATATCGGTCCAGGAAATACACCATCCAGAAGAGCCTCCGTCTGCTCTCATCTTCGATCCAGGATTCGGGTTCCGGGAGGGTTACCGCCCTGAGGGTATAAATTGATGGGTAACTGGGAGCAATGAGTGAAGATTTAGCCTCCACGGCTAGTCCAAGCTGCACTACTGATCGTGTAATCAGCGCAAGCAATTTCCATCCAGGAGGACCGTTGGAGGACCCCACTAGATCCAGGGCCAGGATTACCAAAGCTTGGAGAGCTTTGACTGATGAATTCTCTAACCCATAGAGCAGGACTTTCTGTTTGGAGGAGTCATGGTATCGTTTGCGGTTTTGTTCGTTAAGCCGACTGTCGCTTGAGAAACGAAGAGTGGTTGCAACTATAGCATAGAGCACTGTTCGGTCCGCATCTTCGAGAGGAGATGGACCGAAGAATGTATCGAGAGTTGTACGACGATGGAGAATGGGACACCAGGTATTGATATGTTCAAAGTAGAGGTCCACCAGCGCATACAGGAGATCGTACGGGGGTAGATCGAGCTCTGGATCTGCAAGTAACTGTTCCTGGTTGGCGTACAGGTTGACCGGAACCTTTAGCGATGATTCGTTTCCCATATAATCGTTGGCTTGTGACGCGTTGTTCATCGACCGTGGTACCGAAACGGGCGCAGACATAGCACACGCCAGGTGATTTTGTATGGTATTCTTGACCGATATGTCCGAAGGACTGGTGATGGATGGTTCAGAGTGACGCGGTTGGGGGACGATAGATGGTGGATCATGGAAATAGAATGCGTTATTGGGACTGGGTCCCTGAGCTGTCTCTGATGGAGAACTGTATGAGAAGGGTCCTTGGTGGGAGATATCATGGCTCCTAGTCGGCTGGCCCTGGATAATATGCGTCTCGATTAGGCGAGCCTGCGTTTGAATAACCTCTTCTAACCGATCTGCATGCCTAGTGAGTGAAAGCTCCAGATGGACCTGCCAGAGACTAGTGACGCACCTAGCCTTTGTTCCAACTCCTTCCCATAACCTGCCCGTAGCCCGGGCTTTTTCCGCTCTTTGTATTCGCATAATTGGCCATTGCGAGAGCACCACCCACAGCTAGGCTGCGCCCGATCTGTGCATGTTAGCTTGTACCCATATGGAGCAAGGATTGAAGATGAGGGGAAGCCACCGCATGGGCAGGCATACCTACCGCATTTGACCTTCCTTTGCTTACATAGCTCGCATCTTAGTCGGTTAGTGAGATGTCCGATGAATGGCACCAGCCACAGCTCTCTCGGAATATATATTCCAAGGATTGGAGTATGATAAAAGGGGATCTGTGCTTTCAATGGTCCAATGCAGGATGGGACGGTACGTACGACACTGTGAGGGGTCGTTTACGTTTCAGCGCACGAGGGACGCTCGACCCGTTCTGCACAACACGATCATTCTCGCTATCGGCAGCGGACCAAGATTCATCCCCGCTGTGATCCCGATCCAGATCGCCAGTAAGTCGGGATGGTGGTGGAGTCTGTCGAACAGAGACAGCTGCAGCAGCGTTCGGCATGGTACTTTAGCGAGTCCGGGGTTTGTCGGGAGATAGACAGGTCCAGCCACAGTAGTTCGATCAGCAGCAACGAAGCATCCTGGTAGGAGGGGCGGAAATCGGTGATATTAGACCGAGTCGACTGCTAGCTTCAAGGATTGTGCGAAGCGAGCGAAAGCGACACAGAAGCAAAGGAGAAGAATAGGAAGGAATGAAAGAGACGAAGAGAGCGTTCGGGCTGGCATTGCCTGAGCCAAGAAAAGGCACGCGGACCCCCGCAAATGGACCTCCACATCTATTCTGCCGTTTGTGAAGAACTCTCTGGTCTGGGGAAACACTTTGCCCTGGGAATGACCTGAATTGTGGCGCCCCTTAGGGTCCGTTCACCCGTCCATCGTTTTCCCACCAAGACTTTCCCTTCATCCCTGTGGTTTTTGTTGGCGGCGCAGGTTGGAGACCCTCTCGGGGTAGCATTGCCCCGAGGCATCTCCAGCCGAGGGGAAAGTGTGCCGGATGCCCCTCGACGCCGAGTTGCTCGTATGCTTTCAAATATGCTCCAATTTCCCTGAAAAAAAAGTTTATCGCTTTCTCTTTTCTTCTTCTTCTTCTTCTTCTTCTTCTTCTTCTTTTGCTTCTCATCCTCTAAACTTTGTGATATTCTTCATACCTATCCGCTAAAGTACTGCCAATATGGGCTCTACCGGCCAATTTCCCCGCATCAAGGAGATCCGCACCTTCATCATTGATGGTGTGGGATCCGGAGGTGATTACCATAATGTATGCTCAGCAGTGCCGGGATAATTATTAGCAGACCGCTAATCGTCTTCAATCCAACAGGTCAAAGGAGGTCACTGGTTGATTGACAGCAACATCTCCACCCCTATGACTCGCTGGGCACAATACCGCGGCTCTCGCACATCATGGGGTATCAACGTCCTGGGCTCTTTCTGCGTCGAGATCGAAGCTACCGACGGGACCAAGGGATTTGCCACGGGATTCGGTGGACCTCCGGCTTGCTGGTTGGTTCACCAACATTTTGAGCGCTTCTTGCTCGGTGCAGGTATGGGCCATCAATTTAGTCTCCTAATATGAGCCAAGCTAATCTGTTTCCTCTTCTAGACCCCAGAGATACCAATGACCTGTTCGAGAAGATGTACCGGGGATCGATGTTCTATGGCAGAAAAGGTCTCCCTGTTGCCGTCATCTCGGTGATTGACTTGGCTATCTGGGATCTTCTGGGCAAGATTCGCAACGAGCCCGTCTACAAGCTCATTGGCGGCGCTACTCGTTCGCGTCTGGACTTCTACTGCACTGGACCTCAGCCTGCTTCGGCCAAGGCCATGGGTTTCTCCGGAGCCAAGGTCGCTCTTCCCCATGGCCCTGACGAGGGTACAGAAGGACTGTTGAAGAACGTCGAGTACCTCCGCAAGCAGCGGGAATCAGTCGGTCCCAACTTCCCTTTGCGTGTCGACTGCTACATGTCCCTGAACGTTCCCTACACAATTGAGCTTGTCAAGCGTTGCGAGGCGGAAGGAATCAACATTGACTGGTGGGAGGAATGCTTGACCCCGGATGACTTTGACGGTCATGCACTTCTGAAGAGAGCCCACCCCACTGTCAAGTTCACCACCGGTGAGCACGAGTACTCTCGGTACGGTTTCCGGAAGCTCGTTGAGGGCCGCAACTTGGACATTCTGCAGCCAGACGTCATGTGGGTTGGTGGTATGACGGAGTTGCTTAAGGTCTCCGCCCTTGCCAGTGCCTACGACCTCCCAGTTGTTCCTCACGCATCTGGACCTTACTCCTACCACTTTGTGGTTTCGCAACCCAACTCACCCTTCCAGGAATACCTCGCAAACTCTGCAGATGGACACACTGTTGAGCCCGTCTTCGGAAACCTCTTCCTCAACGAACCCATCCCTACCAAGGGACACCTGGATGTTTCGATCCTGGACAAACCGGGCTTCGGCCTCGAGCTGAACCCTGCTGCTCCTCTTATCCCAGCAGCCACCATTCTCACTCCTGCGCCTCAGAAGGCACTGGCTGCCCCAACTGAGAACCAGCAGGAACCTAACGGCACTGCTTAAGCAAGGTTCTTACGATATCTCTAGATTACGGCTTCTACAAGATGCTTGATGGCATATTTTCAACCTGTGACGAGATTAGCATTTCCTATACATGTATACATGATTTACCTTTGTTTCAATTTTTTTCAGAACAATAGATAGGGGCAATGGAACAATCCTCAACAAGACTTGCGAGCAATCCTCCAATGTGGGGTAAATGCCGAATGTGGGGGTGGTCTCGGGGTAACAATGCCACGAGAGGCCCGAGACCGACTCCACTTATTTGAACGTAGATTTACATTTACTTCTTTGGTTATCTGAATCTCCCCGGCGGGGTTGACCAGAAATACCAGCACAAAACGAGCACTTGATCCAGGACTATAAGCTCGCATTATCCCTCTGTTCACTTCAATCCCATTCAAAGAACCCCAATCGACCATCACCAGAAACAACCACCACCAAAATGCCCCTCCCCCAAATCCTAGTCGGCAAAGTCGCCGCCATCACAGGTGGTTTAACCGGTATTGGCAGGGTAAGACACAGCAACAAAAACAGAACTCACTTGAATTACCAGGCCAGCCTAATATTATCTTCTCTCTAGGCCATCGCCCTCGAATACCTCCGCCACGGCGCCAAAGTAGCCGTAAACCACCTCGGCGGACCCAAAGAAGAGCCCCTCATCGAAGCAATGCGCAAAGACGTATCTGAAATTATCCGATCCAACAGCGACAGTGACAGCGAGCAGAGCAGCAGATTCATCCTGGTCGCAGGAGACGTAACACAGCCCGAGACAGGGCGGGACTTCGTATCCAAAGCCGTGGAAGCCTTTGGCCGACTCGATGTGTTTGTGAGTAATGCGGGAGTGTGCAAGTTTGAGGAGTTTCTTGAGTACGTCGCCGCCCCCCCCCCCCCCCCATCCCATTCACAAATATCTTCCCTTATCTCTACACCTTGAAAGAACCAATGCTAAATACCATATGTTATCCTACGGGTATAGA